GGTGACGACGGGAAAAACAGAGGAAGGAAGCGGAGGAGAACGGCGACGTCGTAGGCTTTATAGCACGGCCAAGAAGCACAGAGAGGCCACGCAGCAGCCTTCCCACGCCAGCGCGAAGCCAGAGATGGCCACGGGCGTGACTTGAAGTCGATGGAAGTTCGCCGTCGGTGAAGTGTCGCCCGCTGGCACTGTTCCAACTAATTACCGAATTGCCACTCGCCTAATTTCTCAAATTACTCTCAAATTTATATGGTAACTCAAAAATCTCCAAAAACAAAAGTTGTTCCAAATTCAAAGTTCTACAACTTTGCTTTAATAACCATACTCAAATTCGGTCTACATTTTGAAATGCAAGTTTAAAATCAAAAGGGAACACTTTAAGAATTTATCCCTTTTCAAATTACTTCAAAATTTATAAAACAACTTTGAAAACTCCAAAAACCAACTTTGTACAAAATGACAAGCTTTACACTTTTCCTTTTAGGCTTAACTCCAAAATGTGCTTAGATTTTGAATTAGGTTTACAGGGTAGAATTTAAATGCTGGAAATTATGGTTTCGGAATCCAATTCAACACAAATGTTTTGAAATTGATTCATCCATACAAGTCAACACATATCATCATAAAAATAAACTTGTTTTGGTGAATGCATATCAAAGTTTTCACTAACACCAAAATGATGTGCAATGCATATGATGACATGGCATGTTTTAGGGTTTGAAACACCAGAGGTGTTACAATTGGCCCCTCTTAAAATTTGATCCTAACTCCGGCACTGATTTTGCTGGTTTATTTGTAAACCTTATCAATTTTTTTGATGGGTAAACCATGTCACTTTTTGTTGTGAAAGCATATTGATTATCCGTCGATCTGCCTGTTCGTTTGGCTGTGGCTTGTCGTAAACGATCGTAAATTTCCAACCGGAATAATATTTTCTCTCTCACAAATTAAGCCAAAGATCTTTCTTCACGAAACCAAAGAACGATACAAACCAAATTACCGGCCCGAACAGTTTGCTTTGTCATACAGACTTTTCACCAAGGGAGCACGAGAGAACAGAGAACGAAGGACTTTTGAAGAAATAAAAGTGTAGGCGACGATACGGGAAGACTGATTCAAAATTCCTGACGGGCCGACTGCCGACATCCATTCCAGAAGAGAGAAGGCTTGTTGGCATTTGCAGGGCATGTTGGCATTTCCAGAAGAGAAATATAAAATACCAGATGTTGGCGATTTGGCTGCGTACGCCTTGTCATTTCTTCCGCTTGCAGCCGAGAGAGGTTTTGTCCTCGTACCTACAACTAGAAGAGGCGCAGTGGCCCCTACCTTGAGCTCCAAAGGTCAACACGGTTTGGGTTCGGGGCGGGCGGGCGGGCTGGACTGAAGCATCCATCCCATCATCAACATGCATCCTTATCTGAATGTCTCTCTCCTGCTAGCTGGCTGCTGCTCCCGTCGCGTGCGTGCGTGACAGTGGGAGACTCGCGAGAGAGACGGAGGCACTGACAGCACTTATCGCGTGCGCGTGGTTCGTTAGCTGTAAGCGCTGGCTTAATAACCGCAGTAAAAAAAGAAAAGGTTACTGCGGGGCGGCGGGTCACGTTGCGTGGTGCAGCGCGCCGGGCGGGCGTCCCATGGATCCACATGGGAGATCGGGGTTTTGGGCCGCGACGCGAGCTGCCATGCCAGCGGCGGTCGCGGTGCTCTAGACTGACGCGCGCACAGAGACCGAGCGCCTTGTGCAGTCTGGACGCTGGCCGTGGGCCGCCGGGGGCGCTCCAAATTCCGAGGCGCCTTGGCGCTCTCGGCTGCCAGCTTTTTCTTTCCTCTGGGATGTTTGTTTCTCCCTCCCTGGTCTCTGCTGTCTGCTGCTCGGTTCCGTTGGCTCGTTTCGTTCCACGTGCCAATGCCATCGCATGCCGGACTGCCCGCCCGTCTCAAAGACAAAACTAGGAAGGATGGTCTGCCGCAGGAGATCCCGTTCCCGTCCGACCCGTTGCAGCATCAGCAATGGCACTGGGCCACTGGCAGGCGAGCCAGAGCCAGCCCAGGAGCGGAGGGGAGCGACAGCCGACAGGGACGGAACGGCGACAGCGACGGCACGGCCTGCGCCTACCTAGCGGAGCGCCCTACTACTAGACTCTGCCTCTCCTCTGCCAGTGCACGCCCCGTCTCCAGCCCGCCATTATTGGCGTGGCCTACCTCGGCTAATTAACAATGCTTACTATCCCTGTCTTGCCCCGAGCGTGTGTATGTATATTACTACTACTAATCCCCCTCGCACCACGCGCCTACACACACTTGAGGTTGAGTCGAGGTCACTGACAGTAACACAACCGCCGCTTAATTAACTGTCGCAATCTCGCTCGCTCAACAACAACAGGCGTCCATGGATTGCTCTTTCCGCTCTTGCGTAAGCCAAGCCAAGCCAAGCAGTAGCACGCGTACGTACAACGTGTGAGGTCGGTCAGGACTCAGGAGAATAATTAAAAAAAGGTGCACCGTGCACATGTGGGCTCGATTACCAGCAGTAGCTTTTCTCCTTCCAAAAGTGCGATGCCAGCCACGACTTCACATGATTATTCATCCATCCATGTTATGCTCTTCCTTCCGAGTGTTCCGTCAGTGTTGTTATTGCCTATGCCAGTTGCCAAACAAGCCTCATTCGCTGCTGCCAACGTCGAGTTAGTAGACACGACACGGGGTTGTGTTGTGGCCTGTGGGTTACCCTTTCCTGGTTTCGTTTCCATGAGTGAACTAAAGTTAGCAACCAGCTCTGCTTCTTTCGTTTGCGGGACCTGTACTTGTACTCGGTTGGCGAGAAGGTTGGACAGGCGCCACATCAGGATATTGCTTTTTTGCTACAATGATGCAATGCAAGCGTGGTTTTTAATTTTACTGTGTTTTTGTTTATCCCAAAAATCGCCATCAAAATCCTTGGCCAGTTGGCCTCTTTTAGATCCTCTCCAGTGAACATGACAGCAAACTGGTGCATCGTCCTCCACGGCAACTCCAACAGCCGATTCAACAGCTAAAGTACACCAAACACATGGAGGTGAGAAAGAAGGATCGGCTCACTTTGACCACAAGTCCAGAACACAAATCAATTTTTATCTGTCCGCTTGAGTTGCTGCGGCATTCAATCGAGGACCAGTACCTGCTGCAGGGGACGGTGCAATTTTGAGTCGCTTTTCCTGAGATTGATTGATGGATGCATGGTTTTCATACCATGCATCCATTCACTACTGCTGGTGCTCTAACACGGCTAGACCATTCTCAGAATAAAATTTCATGGTGTCATTTTAGACAGACACATCAATTAGACTGTTTGACAACTGCTAGGATTGTAGTTGTAGCCTAGAGTCTTTCTTCCTCTATCGCTTAGACCCCGTTTAGTTCCGAAATTTTTTGGCTTTTGGCTACTGTAGCACTTTCGTTTTTATTTGATAAAAATTGTCTAATTATGGACTATTTAGGCTTAAAAGATTCGTCTCACGATTTCTCGGCTAACTGTGTAATTAGTTTTTTTTTCGTCTACATTTAGTACTCCATGCATGTGCCGCAAGATTTGATGTGACGAGGAATCTTGAAAATTTTTGGTTTTTGGCTTGGAACTAAACGGGGCCTTACTTACAATGGGCATGAGATGATGATACGGTGAGTAAATATCAGCCCGTTCGTTCGGCCATGACTTGTCGTAAATGATCGTAAATTTCTAGTTGGAACAGTATTTTTCTCTCACATAAATCAGTCAACAGTATTTTTTCACGAACCAGCAACGAAACGAACCAGCCAACCGAATATGCTGTATGTCTGTAACAATTTAATAAAGATATGGATTGAGTAAATTGTTGGATTATCAAATCAAGGTAAAAGACAATCTGTTTGTTTGGTCTAAGAATCAGCAGCCCTACCTGGCCTACGATAAGGTCAGTCCCAGCGGAGAGTTTTATTTCGTTGTTTTCAAGATTGCCATATCATATGGAATAAAATAAAACTTGGATAAAACACCCACTCTCAATGCAAAGTTTCATTCTATGGTTTCATAAATATTTAATTATGTGACTCATAGAAAGTTGATAATCGTGACAAGAGAGTTTCATCCCATGAAACCCAATCCTTCACTCTCTTCGTTAAAGCTTTGTCATGTCATCAGAAATGCATATATGACAGACTATTAAATACAAATGAAACTCTCGTAGAACTTCCACAAAGACTGGCCTAAGGGTTAATATTCACGTTGTTTAAGCGTCTTTTTGTCAGCACGACCCGAGAGATTCTGTCGAGTTCGTACATACGTACTGAAAATCTAGTAGACGCTGTGAGTTCCAATGGGTAGGAGTAGGAGCGCTTGGGAGTGAGACCCAGCACCCGCCGTTGGATTGGATCCGGCCCTGCGTGCAGATGTCGCCGCGAGTACGTGATGCCCACAGCCACAGGACCTCCTCTGCCTCAGCGCCTGTCGGTGCCGTCCAGCGTGCTGTTGCGTGCGCCACGGGCAACTCTTGCTTCCCTCGTGAAGTGCCGTGCCACCGTGTGGGCTCCAATGCAAACGCTTGGAGGCCCAATCAGGCAATCATGTTCGAGGTCGGCCATGCCTCCGCACGGACAAGCAACATTCCACAACGCTTTTCTTTTACCTTTTCCATTTTGTTTCTCAGACTTTGGGAACAGAAATACAGAATAGCAAAGAGGAGACAGGATGGAGCAAACACCAACCAAATCTATCTTGCAATTATTTCATCTACACTTTATATAAACGTAAATTATGTTCACCTGTTCTTGTTTAAAGCACGACCAAATACTAAAGAGTTCTTTGCACGACATTTAACATCACACCCTCATAATCTGATCAGCAAATGTGTAAAAAACACTAAAGAGAGGTGAGCACAATTGGTAGAAAGAGAGTGTTCAGGGAGCTCTGAATCAGGAAGAGGAGAAAAAGATAAAACAGAAGCTAGACATGTCTTGAACCCAATCCACGGCGTGCAAAGATAGGGCTAGGCGTGCATCGTCGCTGTCTTCTTGAAGTCGATCTTGTCCACCTTCACCTCGCCGTCAATCAGCTCGTAGACGTACACCACCACGCGGAGCCCGTCAATGTCCATCAGCACAAAGCTCGGGTTCACGTCGTATGTGATGCTGCTGTAGGCGCCCGTGGCTGAGCCAGGGTTGATCACCACGCCTCCCTCGTGCTTATATGCCTTGAACTGGTGGGTGTGCCCGGTCACCAGGATGTCCACGTCCAGCTGCCGCTGGAGCATCGCCAGGGAGTCCAGGTCGCCCCATGGTACAACCTGATGTTCGGTTCATGTAGAGGTTTAGTGAAAATTTGTTTAACGGAAAATAAATGTAAGATAGACAGTCACAATGACCACATGCACAAATTTGACATTTGACATTGGGGCAGAGCTGGTCTACTGGAATTCAAGAGCCACAAAGTGCATAAACAATGCGCTTACAATCAGTTATTGCCCATTAATCATGTTTACTGAAGTCATATCGTTAAGAATGGTGAAGTACAGAGTAGAAAAAACTAAATGGAGAGCAGTTCTCATAAATTGTGTGAATGAAGGTGCAGAAACATGGTGCATGCACTGGCAGATACAATGAACCAACATCGTGCATGGCTCTCCACAAGTGAAGTTCTAGACACCGAGCATAGGCTTTGTGGTGTGGCCAGGCTTGATGTCCCCAAAGGAGGGAGTATCAAATCACTTTATGGATATGGTCTATGGAAATGGATCACTCTCTCTGGCTCCTATTAGAGGCTATCATTTGTTTCAACTTTAGAAGAAGACACATCTGTTCTTCCAATAAAACTATAGACCATTAGAAAACCATTGAATGCTCCTATATTGAAACACCACAGCAAAAGTTTTCAAGGCCACTTTATAGAGCTCTGCAGAGGTGTTCTTCACTGCAAAAGTTCCAGTGGACAGGAGACATATCTGGTTCCACTTTATAGAGCTCTGCATTTTCAAGACCAATAAGACAGCTGACCTAATGAATGACACCGAAGACTACATACAACAAAGGGTTTGATTTTTATGATTTTTGGTAGTTAAGCACATTATTTGGTAACTTCATGACTAAAAGTCACCTCACTAGAACTGAGAAACATATTGCCAGATTTGCCATGGAAAGCCATGTGTTTAATTTATTTTTCCTGGGTAAGAACTAAGAACTACGCAAATGATTGAACTTTTGTGGTCAAGTTGAGACGAAAAAAATTGAGGGTTTAGCCATCTACGCACTTAGCGCACCCTGACTTTTATTCTAGAAAATAAGAGAACTACTTCTTTCCTGATCTCAGGAAACTCAGAAAGAAAATTTACCAAAGTAAAAATTACGAATTGATGATCCATGATATCAGAATGGCTGGAGGTAGTTTCAAAGATGTATCAAATTTACACGCAGGGCATGAACATGCTAAGATAAAAGAAACAAAAATTGTTTATGGAGTCTGTGCTAACATCAGATTGCTTAACACACATCTAACTAAAAGTACAGTCAGGTTTCAAGAATATGCATATAGCAGAGTGATAGTTCATGAGCAAAGAACAATGCAGTTTAAAACTTTAAATAACCAGGTTAACAAACATGGTCAAACGTGAAATAAATTATACGCATCATAAAACAAGCATAGGTTTCTTTTGTGTGCCAAGGAGCACCTGTAAGAATACAACTATTACCACCACCACCACCAACAACAACAACAACATAGCCTTTCAGTCCCAAGCAAGTTGGGGTAGGCTAGAGTTAAAACCCACCAAGAGCCCCAAGTCACGAAGAATACAACTATTACCATGGGCATGAAAGTAATAGCTCCCGTACATTTCCTGAGTCAAAAACAAACCTGATGACCATGGCACAGCCCAAGCTTAAACTGACCAATT